AGAAGGGAAGCACTGAATAAAAGTGAGAATGTATTGTCACTCTGTGGAAGATAAAAAAAAAATGGAGCACACAACAGTGTTGATCACAAAGAGAAGATTAAATGAAGATTATTGGCACTAACAACCCTGTGAAGCATGTGGGATATTTTGGTAGGATGTAGAGACAAACCATTCAGGAGGGAACTGAGCTGGGGACGAGTGTTAAGAAAACCTAACAGAAGGTATCTGTTATAAGCATTAAAACATTGCTTGGGATAACCACAGTCCATCTTGTAGTGCCTAGCTGGGAGTCTCAGTTTTGCTGCCAATTCCAGGTTCCTGCTCATGTGCATTATGGGAAGCCTCTGGTGATGACTCAAGTGGCTGGGTACCTGCTACCCATATGGAAGGCCAGGACTGTTTTTTGCAGGCTCCAAACATCAGTCTAACCCAACCATTGTATTTGTGGGCCTCTGGGGATGAGAAATTTCTCTTGCTTTGTACCTCTATACATCTGTGTCTTGGAGTTTTTTTTTTCCTTAAAAAATGTTGAAGCATGTAGGAAAGGAAAACAGTCTAATAACCTATGACTAAGATCTGTAATATTTGATTAAGAGGTACTTGAAAATTGCCACTGAATGAGAGGATGAATGCATGAACATATTAATGAATAACATCAGTTTCTGTTAAGTATCATCGTCTCTGAACCCTAAGAGTCATTGAGAGAATCATTGTATTGGAACAAGTGACAATCTGGTTTTAGTTTTAATGGAATATAGAGCACTCTTTTTCAAAATGAAATGCTTTCTTCAGATTCCTGTTGATTGAAGAGAAGTACAGTAGGGATAGTATACAAAATTTTTAACCTTAAATCACTATGCAGCTATTCTTATTTATGATAGAATATTATTACTAAATTGATCAGCCATGGCAAAATGAGATTTCTGCACTTTATATTTTTTTCAGACAGTAACTTGCCTTCTTCATCTCCTGGCTTTTGATGTTCTTTCACCAGGAAGATCCACTTCACTCCATGCAGAGCCGTGTCAGTGTACATGGAGACAGGAAGGCCACATACAGCCAATGGCACCTGAGAGTAGGTGGAGTGGAGTGAGTAGCACTCGGTACCTGCAAGTGGCCACACTTACATTCTTACGTTTGCTTGTTTTAAATTTCCTATGACATTTCTGAACTCTTAAGATCTAAATGAGTAAGCTAGGGAGCTATGGGAGGATATTAGCAGTGTTCTACAGTTGGAAACCTGGAAAATGTGGCAGCCTGGGAAATGAGGGAGCAGATTTTAGTCCAGCTCAAGAACATTTTTAAGATAACTGAGGGAGGCTGCCTCCCCGATTCCAGTGCTGGTCCAGTGTTGCCTCTGTGTTGCATTTTTTTTTTTTGTTGGAGACTTCCTCACATTAATGTCAGATGGGAGCACTTGACCTCTAAAGTCTCCTCTGTCACAGTTTGTGAAACATGGAGAAAGGACTGTAGACAGTGAATAGTCTGTACCGCGTGCAGGACAGGTCTTAGAAGGGGTGTCATTTGCTATGACAATCCTTCAACAACTTCTCACACCTCCTCCCTCATCACGACCACACTAACCATTAAAAATATTGTAATATTTTTGAGAACCAGTGAGAAATGTTAGAGTAACAAATATCAGTAAGACAGGGCTTATATATTTTGTGTTTCCTGTGGCATGCACAGGGTGGAATACCCTCTAGCCCCATCCATCACTACTTGATTTAGATTTGTGTTGAAGGCTACTGGTCTGGTACACCTTGGTCTTTTAGGTGAAGGGGAAATAAGAACTTGTCTCCATAAAAATACGCAGCATTGAGCATTAAAATAACAGTGTTTCTTGAGTGCTGGCAGCATAGGAATGAATATTAGGTTCAGAAGAGAGAGTGGTTAATAGCAGGACATGGTACTGGAGCAAACATTAAAGCCTGTTGCAAGAATCAAGTGACCTTCCTCCCATCCTCACCAAACTTGGAAAAGAATCACCACAGAAATCCAAGTGCTACTCTAACACCTGGGTGGTAGTGTCTGGCTTTGTGTTCAGACCCTGATGTATTTCTAAAATTCCACTGGAATCACATTTTCAGTGAGATTTGGGATTGAGAAATATCCTAGCTATTTCAGTTAGAATCTCTGTCTCATCGAGTATTTCAGATGGTTTTTAAAAGGCCGTAGGAGCATTGGACTGTACCTGGGTCCCCATCCCACAACACCAAGAATGAGCTAAAACTCTAAAGGAATTTGCAACACAGATTTTTCCAAAGCACCTCAGAGCAGAATGTCTCCTAGCTGTCTTGAAGAACATCCCAAGTGCAGCTTGTACCAAATGAAACCCAGAAGCTTTTGCAAAAATGTTCTGACCTTGAGTTTGAAATAAGCAGAAGATTTTATGGTTTCTACCAAAGGTCATGGGAGAGTCCCAAGGAAGTATCCAAAATGAGAATTGTAGTTCTTCAAGCTGCTTTCACCTAAAACTGTGTATCACTGATAAAGGGTCACCTTCGTAGGGAAAGGACAGCAACAGAACAGTTTCATAGGTTCTTAGTAAGGCAACGAGGCCTCTATGTAGAAGTAGTCTACCAAAGGCAATACATATAGTCATTTTTCAGGCTTATCATATTGCCTTTTTGTCAAACCCAAGAAATGCCACTGGATGTTTATTTGCCTGTTTTTCAGATAAAGAATTCATTTACCTTCACGTCCTGCATTTGCCATAAAATTACATAACTATTTTAGTTTCAGTTTATACTATTCCTGTTGGTCATGTGAATAAAATATCTTAGAGTTTGAAATTCCTTATATTTTTCTTCTCTTTGTGTATGCTTTTATAATTATTGTGTCAATTAGGTCCAGTTGGCTGGGGATTCTGGATATTTTACCTATATTCTTACTAATGTTCACCTGTTGCAAATGTTGAAATTCCTAGAGCAATGTGAAGTCTCTAGTTACTGAAAATAGATTTGTCTGTTTCTCCTTGTAATTGTTTACATTTTTTGTGCCTCATTTTTGATACTGTCATTCAGCTCATATACATTTAGGCTTATCGTATGTTCAGAAAAATTGGACCCGTATCATGAGATATTGTGAGATTATAGTTCTTCCTATGAAATCTGCTCTGTCTGGAATTAATACAGCTGCTCCATTTTTCCGTGGATTGGTTTTAGCATGATGTATCCTGCTTCATCCAGTAACTGTTTCTGCTCAGTTTCACTGAGGTGACATGTGCTTGACAAGGAAAAGGTGTATGTAAAAGTGGCCTACGTGATGAGGATCAAGCTAGTTCATTTGTTGCCTCCCTAGCTAATAGCTTTAATGCAGCTCTGCCGTTATATTTTCAGTTGGTCTTCTGTAGGCAATTCACAGTTTGGTCTTATTTTTCTTATTGACAATGATAATCACTGCTGAACCCAAGCAAAGGTAGACAAGGTCAAGGGGAAATTCCTCAAAGTGGTACTGTTATTTTTAAGTTGCCTTTTTTCATCCTGCAGTGTTCACTTGGTTGCTGTAAACCTTTGGTTTTGACAAAGTTGAGAGACTTTTTTTTTTCTTTTTTGATGTTGCTCTGAAAGGATGGGTCCTTAGGGCTATCTGCTCTTTCAAATGTTTTCTTATTGGCATCTGCCAGATGCTTTGATATTTTATTAGCTTTCAAGAAACCAACTTTAAAAGGCAGTTTTTGAGATGACCCTCTAATTTTCTAATTTTTGGTTTTGTATTGAATAAATTCATCTCATTTTTTTCTCAGTATCTTTCCATAAACTTGTCTTTTTATTTTTTAATTTTTATTTTTTTAAAGACAAAATTATCTAATGGTATATAAGGATACTTTGAAGAGTTTGTGGAAATGCAATTAAAAGATAAGTTTGCTTAGAACATGGTTGTTTAAAGTGTAATTAAAGGACATGTTTGTTCAGATTTCTGTGTAAGTATGCTTTTCTGAATGGAATAAGTTAACTGCTTTTTCCTTAAGCCACCTTTAATTCTTTCATTCCATATTTAACTAAGAATTATTTATGAAGTGTTTTTAAACTTTCTAAGTGATTTATTCACTTTTCTTTTTGCCACTTGTTTCTATTTTATTTATTCTTTAAAGAGATAATCCTTAGATTGTCCTTTTCTATTTGTTTTATTTTTTGCTGGCATTGAATTCATCACATATTATGCCACATTGCTGGCTCTCTGTTTATTTTTACTATTTTTTTTAGTCTATAATGTGGGTTGCAAGTGTTCTTATTTTTGTACTATAAATATTATCTGGATAAGAATTTATTAATATTTACATTAATTTTCACAGTCATATTAACAATTAATGACAATTGCATATTAAAGAAAACAGTACATTTTAATGGGCTCATTTCTCAACTTTTTACCTTAATCTTCAGCCTGTGTTACAAGTAGTTTTCTTATTTCTTATGTAAAATCAGCACATTATCCTTTACCCCCTGAAAATGTGAGCATGCATTTTAATAAATCCCTGCTGTGCATGAAGCATGTTTAGATGTGAATCCTTTTAGCTTGGCTTGCCCCTTACTTTGACACAATGCCTATGACTCCCTTACTGTCAGCCTTGAAACTTATGTCTTGTGTCTAAAATTCTCTTTCAGGCCTTGGTAAGCCTGGTCTATTCGAACTTTTAAAATGGCATCTTAGTGGAACCAGTTTTGTGCTATTTGAAGTATTTGCATTACGTGTTGGATTAACTATTTGAGTCCAGGCTCCTTCACTTTTTTGGACAGGCTAGAAAGTAGTAGATGATGGCTCAAGTCCTTGAATTTTTGCCACATGGGAGATCCAAATGGGGTTTCTGGCTCTTGGTTTTGGCCTGGTCCAGCCTTGGGATTTGTGGCCATTTAGCATAAGGAGTCTGTGCAAGAATTCTGTCTGTCATATTGATTTTCAAGTAAAAAGTAATAAAACATTTTAAAAATAAATAAAATGGGATCTGATGTTCAGTGACACTCATTTTGTCTATTTTTTTTCTTCTCTCCCTAACTTAGGCTTTGGAAGATCAGGTATGGGAACTCTTACAGGAAGCAGACAAAACAGCTGAAGAGAATAAGGATCAGAGTCAGGTGTATGAAGCCATGGCCCAGACCCTGGGTGAAGCATGGGAAGGCCTCGTATTCATGCTTGAAAGAAGAAGGGAACTTCTTATGCTGACCTCTGAATTTTTTGAAAATGCTTTGGAGGTTTGTGTTTAAAAACAAAACAAAAACTTCTAGTTTTTCACATTACAACAAGTGAATAACATTTCTGGCAATATTAATGTGCAAACTGACATGTAAGTTAAGCCAAAAAATAGTATCATCACAAAAATATGCGCAGATTTTCTGAATGCTCAAACATAGGACTGTTGGTCTACACTGTAGTGTGGTGCCTTGAAACTCCACCTGCAGTGGCAACACTGGTTTGTGTTCTGGATGCTCCACTTCTGATGGTCTGGGAAATCAGTACCCACATGGGAAACCAGGACAAAGTTCCTGGCTCCTAGCTTCATTTGCCCAACTTGGTCCACTATGGCCGTGTGTGGAATGAACCTATCTGTACATTCCTCTCTTTTCTGTCTTTCCTTATCTGTAACTCTACCTTTCAAATAAAAATAAAAATCTTTAACCAATTAAACTGTTAATATTTTAAATATAGGTCTCTGATTGAAAACCAAATATAATAAATTTTGACTAAAATGTCAAGTAAAAGTAGAAATTCTAGATAGTAAGCCATTATGATTCTTTTTCTCTTCTCTTTAGAAGATAGTAATGTAATTCCTAAATAAGTTACCTTAATTATAAGATGCTCATAATTATAAGATGTTAGTAAGAATTTACTAACAGTGTTCCTGTTGGCTAAAAGTTGGAGGATACAATTTCCTTTGTTACTTATTTTAAACATAAATTGCAGAATATACCATAGAGAGTTTGACTTGTACACTAGAATTTTATGGAGTACTTTCCTAAGGTATGTGTTTGATTTTTCATTAAGTTTAAGCTCACTAGATTACAAAACAAGGAACAAGTCCTGGTACAGAGAAGGCCATTTCTCCATATAAGATATTTTTTAATTGTTAGGGTTTTTATTTCAGTTTCCCAATTTCATAATGTGAGACTCAAATAGCTTTATCAAAAGAGGTGCTAAATTTGGTGTAAGGCAGCTATTGAAAATTTCTCTTTCAGCTTCTCTGTCAAGTGGCAATACGTTCATGTTGATATGAAAGCACTGCCTCATTATGATGAAGTATGAGCTTTGAAAAATAGGACATTTTTGAACTAAAAATTCAGGGCCTAGATCCAATATAATGAAGAAAAGAAGATTAGTTACAGTGCATAAAAATGTAGGTAGACAATCTCATGCATTATAAACTCACTTAAAAGCAAGAATCAGGAACAGAAACCTTATTGTAATTGGTTTGTTTTACACAATTTGAACATTGAAACCAAGCTCATAATTCATTTTACAGATCATTTTGGGAAAAAGTTCCATATATAATCTTTTCTGAAAAAGAATAAGCCAACTGAAATACATCTACAGAGGCCAAATTTTTCCATCTTAGTAAGTAGGGTATATGGATATCAGCTATCCTTGAGGCAGCACTTTTGAGCAGGGAATTACCTTTTTCCTGATATTAAGCTCAGTGTCTGTTTCTCATCATGTTCCAATATTAATGCTAATTAATGATGAGTAAAAGAAATTAAAAAATTATTAATAATGCAACTTCAGTAGAAATACTGATTGTTTTTGGTGTCCCAATCCGATGTTGTGCAGGCAGACACCTGCATAATCTTCCATCCCTTTTGTAAACCAAACCACTTTTCATTAGTAATTGAAAAAAAAAAAAAGAAGACGACAGTGACATTAACAAGATCTTTGAAAAGTGTCCTACTTAACAACTTGTTCAGGGGCAGGATGAACCAAGTTGTAAACTTGTAGGTGGGGAAAAGAAAATATCTATCAGGGTCAAAGTTAGTAACATTGGGAACACTTTCCCGAGTACAGAATTCAAAGTTAGTAACATTGGGAACACTTTCCCGAGTACAGAATTATTTGCTTATGCATTTTTAAAAAATTTAAATATAAATGTGAAATATGCATGTTATACAATGACTGCAAAATTTTCCAGGCTGCTCTGCAGGGAAACAAAACAAGTCATCTGCTAGAGGTGGGTTGTTTTTGTTTTTGTCTCTTTGAAGATCCTCTTCAAAGAATATCTTTCAAATACGTTATTAGAAACTGAAACAATAAGACATATTGATGACATGTAGTGTCATCCCCTTACTGAACTACATGCATGTGGGTGTTCTTTAGAAGTACAAGATGTCTTATTATCTGGCATTTGATGATGATTTCAGGGTGATTTCAGGCTTATAGATGCACCTTCAGGGAGACCCTGCTCCCCTCAAGCACTGTCCGGTCCTTGGAGAGCACTGTCCCTACCTGGGAAAGGCAGATGTCAGGCTGTCCTGACAGGATGCTACAGGCTTCTGCATCTCAAAAGATGATACACACATCAGTTCCTCTCCCTTCATTCCACATCATGTATAACGGAATGTTATTCAACTGTTTTGTCCAAGTGCAGCATACATTATTCATCAAAATATTAAAACACCAAACTCAAAGATAATAGTTGAAAGAAACCATGAAAATGATAGTCTTCTGTGTTTTTCTCCCTAGATTAGGTTAATATGATCACATAGTAAGCATGTTAAAGTGCTTCTTAATACTACATCTTAGAGCTAAAATGAGGTAGTAATGTGCCTACCACCAAGGATAACCATCTGTGGTTTTTATCTTTCAAAGTTTGTATCTGATATGGTTCTCCTAAGGATTTGACCATATTTTTCCTTCATGGAGGAAAAATAGAAACAAGACCTGTTTGTTCACTATTTGGGGTATCATCTTGTCGGATATTTTCCTTTGAAACATGAACTTTTTTTTTTTAATATTCCTGTAGTTAAACTTATTTTTATTTCACAAATAATGCATACATATTATTGGTAACAATACAAATAAGATACACATATTTTCAAAAGCTGAAAGCTCATCTGTGCTCAAAAATTTCTAATTCTGCTTCTTGTCATAGAGGCATCCATTTTGTGTGTATCTTTGCAAACAAATTTCTCTATAGATATACTTAATTTTTGCTTTATATAGAAAATGTCATTAGACGGTGTTATTCTGAAACTTTCCCTTTACCATTAAAATTATGTGGGGGGAAAAAAGACTATATCCTTCCAAGTTCCTAAGCAAATTTATTTATAACGTACAGGTTGTTGATTAGTCAATTATTTGTTGATTTCTATTAGTAAATTTGCTGCTTATTCTTAATAAATTGCTTTAGAAGTGCTAAAAGTAATTATATTTATTATAGGATGCAATAATTCTGGTTGAAAATATATTTTTAAAAGCAATATTATTTGTTTGAAAATCAGAGTTACAAAGAGCCAGAAGAGAGAAATATTTTCCACCCACTGATTCATTCTCCAAATAGCCACGATGACTGGAGTTTGAAGCCAGGTGCTGAAAACTGCATCCGCATCTTCCCCGTGGGTGGAGGGAACTCACGGGAACCCAAGCACTAAGGCCATATTCTGCTTTCCCAGGCACATGATGAGGCAGTTTGATTGGAAGTGGAGCAATTGAGTCTCTGGCCTGTGTGACATCCTTGTCCCACAATGCTGTTCCCTGGTTGAAGCATTTGGTAGACATTTCAACAGTAAACATGCTGGTATTACAGCACATGTGGTCTATTTCTAGTGAAGAAAGAAAAGCAGGGAAAGAAGTGTAAATCTGTAAACTGGTCACATACAAACAAATATCCACTCTCATATACACCACTGTACTAACACAGATACACAGTAATAAATACTCATTTAGCCTATTGGTTCATTTAAAAATATTAATAGCAAGATGGCATGTTCATTTTTCTTTTTAATCGTATTTCTCCTGTATTTTTGTTGTAGTTTGCAATTAAAATAGATCAAGCTGAAGATTTCCTCCAGAATACTCATGAATTTGAAAGTACCGAGTCCCTAAAATCTCTTCTTCAGCTCCATGAGCATCATACTAAAGGCAAGAACTTTTACTCCTCACTAAAACTTTAAAGTTTAAAATGTATTAACATGAGAGTGTTTATGGTGATGCATTTTTAACTTTTCTGCTTCTGTCTACTTCAATTTGTTCCACGAAAGAAGACATAAAACTTTGTCTTTGACTATCTCTTAAAAAAAGGAAATGGTTCTAAATTGGTCTAAGAGGATGGGAGAGGAAGAATCTACAGAAACGTCACCCACTCAGTCTGCTAGACTTTTGGCTTTCAGATTTTAGGTGGAAATTACCCCTCTGGGCACAGTGTTTGTCCCTTCATTCCCAGTGTCTAGCAAGGTGCCTAGCACAAGACAGATCCTCAAGAGATTTTTGTTATTTGAAGATAAAGGGCTGAATTCAGTGAAAGGTACGTCTAAAGGTTAACAAATGAAAGGTCTAGCCTTTACATGATATGGTTGGTGAGAAAATTAACTCTCTTGTCATTATAGCTGTAGGAATCAGGATTTTTCCAGACAGAAATCTTATGAGACACTGTACCAAAAAAAAAAAAAAATTGCTCAACTCTTCTAAGAACTTGTGGACAGGACAATTGTTAAATGGTGGCTTGTGTGCTGTGCCTTATCTACCAGAATTGGGGTGGGCTATGACTGGAGTAGGGAAGGCATTAATGGAAGGGTAGTTTGCACTGGCATTTGTTTCTGTGGAAGGACAGTAGATACACAGTTGCAAAAAAAAATCAGTTCTTTCCTTTGTAATGTGTTTTCTAATTGGCACTGCCCAGTGGACCTCAGTATAAAGGAAATAACTCCCTTAATTCATTTTTCACAGTTCTGACTTGACACCTAACTCCCTTTCGTCTGCTCGTGCTAGACAGAAGCAAAGGGCATTTTTAAAGCTGTGAGTAGATTCTGTTTCTGTCACCTTTTGAAGGGTTTTGGATAATAGGTAACTATAAAGCCCTTATTACTACAACTTTCCCAAACCTCAAAGATTCAAGAACTCAATCTTCACTTTGTTTATGTCTTCTGAAAGTCTCCCCTCCCCACACACACTTTGAATTAGTTGTTATTCCATAGGGCCTATCACTGACAAAGATTATAAATAGCATCCAAAGACTCCATGTGAAAATATCAGCATGCCCAATTTCATGCAGCAGAGGCATGTTCCTGCAGGGTCCTGCAAGGGGTCAGCAGAGCCCCGTGAAATCCTGCCCGGAGACTGGAAAGTAGATCTAGTCCAGGTAACAGATGAGTTCTGTAATGAATTCAGTCTGTTATGATCATCACACAACAATCTTGTGTCCTATGCTTTGCAGTGACTGAAACTTTCACAACAGAGCTTCAAACAAGGCAATCATGAAAGCATTTTCCAGGGGGATTGACAGGTTGTGGAAGTGGAGGTTTTTCCACATATATTTGGGGGTGGATCTGGAAGAAGGGTATAACTTAAAGCTGTTTTGTGCATGCTGTTGTTGGTGCCTGCCGAGTTTATGGGATGCGGAGCACAGAGAGCCACTTTATGGGAGTGCATGCTGCTTTGTGTGACAACAGTGTGTGGTACTGATATGGTGCCAAGATGAGAGTGGCACCATTAACTTGCTTTTCAGGGATGTAGTATTCCAGAGTCTACTTGACATCTTAGTCTAAAGCAATAAATAAAAAATACTATTTTTGTGATGGGCAAATCTTTGGTAGCATGCCTGTCCTGAAATTATTGTCCTTCTGTCAAAAATTGACAACAAGGATTGAAAGGGGATCTGGTTAGGTCACCTGCTTCTATTCCATCTGCTCAGTGATGGCTTCAGGGCTTTGCTTTCATGTAATGGGAATGGATGAAACTGATTAACCCACTAATTCAGTAAGATGTGACTAAGATCAGCTGATACGAAATGCATATTAAAAATGAAATCCTGGTGTTTACTTAAGAGTTTCAAGTCTATAATCTTAAAATTTAAGGAAACAAAATACATCTGTAAGTACAGCTGGCAGTTCTATGTTTCTGAGATATTGACTAGTGAGTAGTCAAAGTGGGAGTATTAGGATGACAAATGCTGATAGTGTAACTGAAGAAGCTATTCATACTTACCCTGACGGCCACTTTATTTTTAAAAATGATTTATTTATTTTGAGAGAGTTACAGAGAGATAGAGGGTGAGATCCTTCATCTGCTGATTCACTCCTCTCTTGTTCCCCACAGCCAGAGCTGGGTCGGGCTGAAGCCAGTAGCTTCCTCTGAGTCTCCCACATGAGTGCAGGGGTCCAAGGGCTTGAGCCACCCTCTGCTGTTTTCCTAGACCATAAGCAAGGAGCTGGATCAGAAGCAGAGCAGTTGGGGACACAAACTGGTGTCACAAGAAGAGGTTTATTAGATTGATACCACCATGCTAGCCCAATGGTCTCTTTATTTCAGTTACCTTACTTATGCTTTTCCCTTATTCAAAAATGCTAAGGTATGTTGCATGCAGAAACTTTGTCTATAAAATTGTGGTCAGAACCAGTATGATAGTTTCTGCCCTGTGGGATGCTACAGAAAAAGTCAGTCCCCAACAAGACAATCCTAGAAATAGTTGAAGACTAACATCCTCTCCAGTGCCCTCTGATTTGGGTTAAACATGCCTGGTTAAAATCTTTTCTAGTAAAGATGGTTTCCAGACTCTTGTCTGGCTTGCTTGACCTAGATTCAACAACACACAAGTAAAAATTACTTTCTGAGCTCATGGCTGGTGAGAAACCCATGGCTGTGTGTCAGGGGAATCCATGATCCTTGCCTTTGGGATATCTACAATCTAGCAGGGCAGGTGCATAATTATTATGGAATTCTCTGTGCATTTCCTGTGAATACCTCTGTGACACCAGCTGGCACACTGTATAGTGATAACATGCTTCTCTTTTCATCTCCGTCACCACATCTTTGACTCTCTGGGCTTAGAACAGTCCCCATCTCTGAGGATCGTTCCTGAGTATGTTTTACATATAAATAAAATATAAGACATGATATATGATGGTATAAAAGTGAGCAATAAACTAGATACATTAGGGACAATAAGGAAAAGAAAGCTTACTGTAAGCTCTGAGAAATCACAATGACACTCTCCAGTTTTTTAATGCCAATCTTAAAATGATTATCATGTCTAATAAGCTGTATCATAGGATGTCATATCATTACTTCGTTTTTCATAGATGTCATATATCAATTTTGTCATAAGTTGGATAGAGGCTTATTTACATCAGCCATCTTGTCGACTTTTATGTATTTTAAGACTTTTTATTTAATTTTATTGTAAAGTCAGATATATAGAGAGGAGGAGAGACAGAGAGGAGGATCCTCTGTTCATTGATTCACTCCCCAAGTGACCACAATGGCTGGAGCTGAGTTGACCCGAAGCCAGGAGCCAGGATCCTCTTCCTGGTCTTCCAAGCAAGTGCAGGGTTCCAAGGCTTTGGGCCATCCTCAACTGCTTTTCCAGGCCACAAGCAGGGAGCTGGATGGGAAGTGGAGCTGCCGGGATTAGAACCGGCACCCATATGGGATCCTAGCACGTTCAAGATAAGGACTTTAGCTGCTAGACTACAGCACCAGGCCCTACTTGTATGTATTTTTAGAAGTGCATATTAAGCAATTTTAAGAAAACAATCCCCCTTAAGAATATTTGGAACTGAAAAATATGTTAAAAACAAGTATCATCCAAGATCTCAGCACCAGTACTTTAATGTCAACAATTGTTGAAAAGATCTTATTTGAAAAGGTGTATAATAAGCTGAAAGTATACCTAACTTATTACCCTTCATTATCAACCATTTGAAATTGGCTAATTATGCTAAATAATTTGGGCATACCCTATAAGTAATTATTTAAAATGTATTTTCCCATCAGTTCTTAATATATAGTGGGACTTAAATAATGATAATTTATTGACTATATGTGCCATCACAAAGTGTTGCGCTAATAAGGGTTTTGAATGTGCACAAATACACAGTGCTTAAAATAGATCTGTAGAGACTTCTAGAAGGCCATCATATACCCAAATAATTTGCCCATGAGGCAAAAAAATACATCACTTTGGTCAACAGAATGGTGAAAATAAAAAATACATCACTTTGGTCAACAAATAGTGTTGAAAATAAAAGAGACAAGACATAAGAAACTGATAGAGGAAGCCCAAGGCAGGTGACAGAGGGGACTGAGAATTCACCGCCCTTATCATGGAGGGAGATAATAGATTGAAACCTGAGTGCATTTACAGGTTAATTTTGGTTTAGGAGATTGCACAACTGAAGATAATATGGGGATGGTTATGTTATTTTGGCTAAAAGTAAAACAGAAAACCAAGAAAAGAAGGCAGCTTGGGATCTTGGCAAATTGTGTGCATTCCTGTGGTGCTGGAACGGGTTGACTTGACCCATGGTCAGTCTACAACACTGTCAGAACAGAATTTGTGTTTCCTTCTCTCATTTAAAAAGTTGTCCATGTAAGAACTATTTATAGGACAGGAGAACAGAAATCTCATGTGGAAACTCTGCTGCCCTCTCATAATTCTTGTGTGTTTGTAGCTAATTGTAATAACATATCAAGCTCCTCAGTGCAAAGGGAAAATTCTCTGTCTGCATATGTTTAAGCAGCCAGCCACCTCAATCACGATATTATGGTTATATAAATAATAACTTTGATGGGAAACAACCTCTACCATATGTGTTGACATTGCTTCTTAAGTTGTATGTGCCATTTTACAGTAATAGGCAGACAGGCCTTTTTCCTGTACTCTTTTTCTCACCTCTTATTTGCCCTTTTTGGCTTAATTTTCTCTGCTCAAGAAGTCTCATTTTAATGTTTCCCATGGCTTTTCTTATCCTGTTTAAATTCTCTCCTCATTCTGACATGGTTGAAGTCCATTACTGTTTTAGTTGTTTCTTTTATTTTTCATGAATGTGGACTCTGTGATGTTTCATAAAATCTTTGCTGTGACTGAAATTATAATACACCAGTTATAAGAACAAGGGTTTCTCTGCTATATGGGTTTTCTGCTGCAGAAGCAGGGGTGAGCTCACACAGAAAGTCTTTGCAAATTTATCATATCCATAGTGTTTCTACCGATGTGCTCTTTGCTGCCCAATAAGGCCAATACTCCCAGCAGGATTTTGGCCACATTCTTCACAATTTTGTTGTCTCCCTTGACAGATGTTCTGATCCTTTTTCTTTAACCCACCCCCAAATTCACAGAACTTTCTGTCTTCAGCCTCCTCTAGAGCGTTCTTTAGAATTTTCAGATTCTTCCATTGCTTTGCCTTGATTTCCATTTTTACAGCTGCCTCTGCCATCTTGGTCTTAGTCTTCCCATCTGACAGAGCATTGTGTTCCTGAGGGTTGTATTGAAGCAGATTTCCATGGGCTCAAGCTGGACACCTCAGGTGACAACTGGAGAAGTACCATTTATTCTGTAATCTATTCTTGCCCTCCTGAGGGTCTGAGACCTGGAGCCCTGCGAGTCATTGTATAGAATAGAGTTGTAATTCCTGAAACCAGACCATTAGAGAGTTCCGCTTGGTACAGTCTCCAGATTACTGTCAAAACTCACGTATGACTCCTCAGTCATGGCCCTGTCCTCTCTAGGAGTGGTTTGTTTCTGTGTGTTTTTAAAATCCTCATCGCATTATCTAGAGCACATTCTCCAATACATTCATCAGTTCTCACCACCTCAGTCATAGAGATCTTTTCTCTCTCTTACACACACACACACACACACACACACACACACACACACACACACACACACACACACACACACGGAGAGAGGGAGGGAGGGAAGATAGACAGACAGGCAGACAGACTTGAGCCATACTCTGCTGCTTTTCCAGGTCATAAAGAGGGAGCTGGATCAGAATTGGATCAGCCAGGACATATGGGATATCAGCATTGTAGGCAGAGAATCAGCTTGCTACGTCACTAAACCAGCCGCTGTCCCATTACATTTTCAAATACTGTGTTTATAGCTCTTTACCCAACAGGAAGCCTCAACAGATCTGAATCCGTACTCTTCCTTGACATCAACTGGTCAGAGCTGAGTGATGAATGAGATTACAGCTATAACATCCAGAAGCATGTTCTAACTAGATATGGACCACCACATTCATGGAGTTTTTGAATGTTCACTGTAGGCCATAAAAACCTTAAATATAGTCTAATCACATCCAAAAGTAGAACACTCTGGGGAGAGGCAACACCTCAGCCAGCATCACAACAGTAAAATTGAGCTCATGCCCAAATCCCCACAATCTTTCTGCTTCTCTACTGAATTATGCTAGCACTGCACTTCAACAGTCTATTGTTATGCCATGATGTTTGACCAGTTGTTGGTTTCAAGCAGTGAAGGTAATTCATGTCTCTATATTCAAATTCCTTGCAGTAGATCTTACAATTAGTCATAAAAAGTTACATATATTTTAAATTTTATGACTATTCCAATTATTACTAATTACTTATATCACTGTTCCTTTTCTTTCTGATCTTCTTCTAGAACTTCTAGAAAAATCTCTAGCACTTCTAAACAAAAGTCAACAACTCAAGGACTTTATTGAAAAATTCAAATTTGGTGGTCCTAATATAAATCCTGAATTAAATCAAGGAGCTCAAAGCAGCTGTCTGAAGATAGACAACCTTCTTGAACTTCTACAAGACAGAAGAAGGCAACTCGACAAGTACCTGAAGCAACAGTGGCAGGAATTGAGTCAGGTTCTGCAGATATGTCAGTGGGACCAACGAGAAAGCCAGGTAAACCAAAGGGGTATTGAGTGATGTCCAGCTGTCTGTCTGCTAATTTGTGCCTCTTGGGATTAGCTTGTCTTTAACTAGGACTAGATCACAGTCATCTGACTAAATCTTTTGGTCTTTGGTCAAAAGTCTTTTGTTCAAAATACCATGTTGTTTCCAAAGTAAATCACATCAAATAGAAGATTTTAAAGAAAATTCTCACATAGTATTAATTATATAAAGGGAAACAATTTTGAACATGACTACTTTCTCTTGTTGGAAGCTTTCTCACTATTATATCACTGACTTAGATACTTTTTTTTTTTTTACAATTCTAAAATATTTTCTTGGAAGTGAGAGAGGCATGATGGTATGGAATTGGGCTAGAGTGATGCTAATGTCAGTAAAACCCAAAATCTGTCAGCCCAGAAGAGGAAAAATGCTCTTAGTAAAGAGGACAGGGAGCAATGAAGAGTTCTGATTTTGCCTTTGACTAAAAGCATAAAGGCTAGAGGCCTTTCTGAGTCAATGAGTTTGCAGGTGCAGTAGGACTCATTACCCTGACTGAGGCACAGTTTGCATCAGTTGCCACAGTGTTTGCTGTGTGAGGTTACATATTCCTTTCATTCCTATCATGTAGGGCAAGAAGACACACAATTTGTGCCAATCCTTTGGCCAAATAGTGGCATATTTATTATGACATTTCTGTTTATCCCAATCCTATGCTTGAAGTTATTCAATTAAATTTTAGCAACTAACAGTGTGATAGGAGGACTTTTGGTCAGCATACACAGAAAAATTATTGATTTTATCCAAATTGGAGAGACAGACAGCTGAGAAAAAAATAAGAGGCCAGGAGAAATTGGTTTTTATTTCCAGTGAAGGAGGCAGGGGCATCATTCCGTGGGGAGAGATGACTGAGACCAATGACTTGACTGACTTGCTTCAAAAGGTCACACAGACTTGACATTTGTACTTCCCAACATCTGCTGCAAAGGAGAGCAGGTAGTGAACAGATGCTGGACTGATGAACAAGACAGGGTCAAAGGGCCTGGACAGAGATGAAACAGCAAGTTGACTGGGCCTCCTCTAAGACACTCCTGCTGGGCCTGGTGCGATAGTGTAGCAGCTAACGTCATTGCCTTGAACACTCCAGGATCCCATATGGGCACTGGTTCTAATGCCGGTGTTCCCAGTTCTCAACCAGCTCTCTGCTTGTGGCCTGGGAAAGCAGTCAAGGACAGCCCAAAGCCTTGGCACCCTGCACCAGAAGAAGCTCCTCGCTCCTGGCTTTGGATTGGCTCAACTCCAGCCATTATGGCAACTTGGAGAATGAATCATCGGATGGAAGATCTTCCTCTCTGTCTCTCCTCTCTGTATATCCGCCTTTCCAATAAAAAAATAATAAAAATAAATCTTTAAAAAAAAGATTTATTTATTTTTATTGGAAAGGTGGATATACAGAGAGGAGGAGAGACAGAGAGGAAGATCTTCCATCCGATGATTCACTCCCCAAGTGAGCGCAACGGGCCGATACTATGCCGGTCCGAAGCCAGGAGCCTCTTCCGGGTCTCCCACGGGGGTGCAGGGTCCCAAAGCTTTGGGCCGTCCTGGACTGCTTTCCCAGGCCACAGGCAGGGAGCTGGAAGGGAAGTGGGGCTGCCGGGATTAGAACCGGCGCCCATATGGGATCCTGGGCGTGCAAGGCGAGGACCTTTAACCACTTGTGCCACCGCGCCAGGCCCAAAAATAAATAAATCTTTTAAAAAAAAGCAAAAATACACTCCTGCATGAATATGCATAGAGAGAGAGAGCAGAGCATGGGTCAAATGGCTAGGTTGAAAGAAAGTGGGCAAGTCTCTGTCTCCACGAAATGTGGACAAAGGCTCTGTGATTTACACTAGACAAGACAGCAGAAAGGTCAGAATTGGAATTCCTCAGAATGTATTTTAAATGTCAGGTAGATCTCCATCTGTGCACATGCTTCTTGGTTGCATTTTGGCCTTCTGTTAACTTGTTCTAGACTTTTAGCCAAGTATATGTATAGTCACAAGTGCACATAAACACTCAGATTTATTGAAGGAACAACTAAACAAGCAAATATATATAAGATTACATTATAACCTTTTTTATTAGACTGGAAAAAACAGGCATATCTTTGTGTCAGAAGTAGAATAAGTAATTTATTGAGTGTGTAATATTCTGCTATTTGAATACAACATAGTTGAAGCAAGGTCTTACTGATGAGGAATGATGGGCTCTTCAGCTTGCAATAGTATAAACAGCAATTAGTGCTTCCTGTTTTGCCATTCTGTGAACAAGGAAATGTTTTAAAATTCAGGGAGATAGGAGCATAATTCACTCAGCCATGTTTGTAAGTTTCTGTTTTAAAGTTTTGTTGATGCACAGGTGAAAAATAGCAACAGGGACATTCCCACTGAGTGAGGCTAATTTAGGTCCCATCATTTTCACATTCCTGGATGATCTACCTTTTAATCCTAGAGCCAAACTCCCTTGAAAGATAAAATTTCTTTTGTCAGCTCCTTACTTATTTTAAGGGATCATAGGAGCAGTTAAACTTTATATTAATAAAATGTCAGTTTGTCATTTAAGAAAAAAAATGGGAATTAAGTGAAGGATTGGACCAAAGATGGATCATAATGTGGATTCTCAACATCTGATGTATCTTCTTTCATAAGGGCCATTGAAAAGGCACTCTGTGCCTCACTGTTTCCAAGTGCCTGTGGCCTTATGCTTTTGAACTCTAATAGTTCATCTAATTCTCCTTTGAAAAATAAATTAAGTGGCCAACATAATGGCATCTTAAGATTCACACCAATTGTAGGAAAAAATACAAACAAATGCCAAGAACCTTAACTTACTCAGAATACATGCTATTTTGTTATCATTGTTTTTCAGATTTAAAAATGGGCACTTATTTTACATGAAAGATGAACAGCTGCTCTTCTTTTAGTTCTAACAGCATCTTATTTTGCATGTAATCTGCTTCAATAATGAAAATCAGAAGCAGCTTGGAGAATTTTGTGCATAATTAATTATCTTGGCAAGAAGATTTATGAATGTAATTTTTTCAATTGCTCCGATCAGGCCTAAGTGAGATAAACAAATACATTAAAACTAAGTTTTCTGTGTCTTTTTTGTACAAGATAGTGTCAATCGCATATAGGAAAATTAATGACATGGGGCAGTCTCTTTGTAACACTAGATCATATTTATTGATCACAAAGTTTGGGAGTGGTGGCCAATAGAATTTGCAAATTTTGTTAGTTTATGATTTTAACTCAATGTGTTTAATAATCAGGCAATGTATTGCTAGTAAAATACATTGAAAGTGTTATTTTTTATGTCATAAGAACAGTTTTAAGACATCATTTTTATATTTGAAAGTCAGCATTATACACACACACAAACACAGAGTGGGAGGGAGGGAGGGAAGGTAGAGAGAGAACCGTTAGTCTGTCTTCCATTTGCTAGATCTGAGGGTTCACTCTCTAAATGAATGCAACTACTGGAGCTGGCCAGGCTGAAAGCAGGAAGCTGGAGCTTTGTTCAGGTCTCCCAGGCTGTGCAAAAGCCCAGGAATTTGGGCCCTCATTGCTACTTTCTCGGACATATTAGCAGAGCTGCATGGGAAGTGGAACAGTAAGAACATGAACCAGTCGAGAATACCAGTCTGTGCCTAGTGGGCATCTATAAAATTGTATGCATATATATGGATATGAGTGTGTTTATGTATAATATTTTGTATATGATGCCATCCTATAGCTAAGATTTAGAATTTGAATCGCTGACCAGCTTAAAATAGTACTCATGTGAGAAACTTACAAAGTATGAATGTTAAACTTTCAAACACTGTCTTCCCATAAGACCAAAATAAGGCTTTGATTAATTTGTCACGTTCATATCTAAAAGTTCAACTCAGTAGCAGATATAAATGACTGATGAATCATTTAGAGATTGAAATATATGACAAAACTTAATTTGAATACAAAAACTGTCTCTAGAATTCTCATAAAAGCTCTTTGGTAGTAGATATAGAGTTTCTTGATTTTTTTTATAGAAGAAGCATACAGTTTTGAAAGCAATAGTGTTTATTCTAATTAGGATGCATGCTAGGAGTCGTTTTGGTGGCACTGAAAGCATCAACCATAGAGGACTCTGGCTAGAAGGCATGGATAATAGTTTTAACCATTACATCTACTAGCAATGAGGTTTCTTTTTTAAATTATGGGTTTTTTTAGATTTATTTTTTCATTTTTTGTTGCAAAGTCAGATGTTCAGCGAGGAGGAGAGACACAGAGAAGATCTTCCATCCAATTATTCACTCTCCAAATGACCACAGCAGCTGGAGCTGAGCTGATCTGAAGCCAGGAGCCAGGAGCTTCTTCTGGGTCTCCCACGTGGGTGCAGGAACCCAAGGATTTGGTCTGTCCTTGACTTCTTTCCCAGGCTACAAGCAGGGAGCTGGATGAGAAGCAGGGTTACAGGGATTAGAACCAGCACCCATATGGGATCCCGACACATTCAAGGCAAGGACTTTGGCCACTAGGCCACTGTGCCAGGCCAAAGCCCCATCAATTTTAATTCATTTTATGGGGATGTTTGCATATAAATGATATAAATTGAACATTTTAAAGACATTAAATCATCCTGAAAATTTAGCAGTTACTTATATGATGGGGTTCTGTCTCCCATTTCTTTCATAGACAACTAGGGACTGAGGCCCAAAACTGAATAAAATTTATTAAGCTGTATTCTGGGGTGGTATTATGAAGCTATCAACCGTTGAGCCCACAAACTACCCCTGGAATGCACTTTTCTCCCTGCCAACTGGGATATAATTAGATGTAGATCAGCTGGCGTGGAACTCTGTTATTTTGGGATTTGCATGATTTAGCTTTATTTTTGGGAGGGAATCACATTACCAAAACTCTGGATGAAGCCACTTTTTTTTTTTTTTAAGAAAAATTATCACTGCTGAGGGAATTCCTTCCAGTGAG